TTTTAATTAAATAAAATAATATTATTTAAAGTCGAAAGTTCAATTTATTTTGAAAGTCAAGATTGATCTCTCAACAATCACAATCCAGTTATTAGACAAATTTTACATACTACAATTGCATAAAATTTAATAATTTATCTTTCCACTTTAATGGTTGAGATTTATTCAATTTTTATTATATTTATTAAAAATAATGATTTTTTTATTTAAAAAGTCATGATAAATCTCAACTATTAAAAGTGAATAGATAAATTATCAAGATTTTATATAAATGTGATATATAAAATTTGTATATAACTAAATCTCTATTATATATATATTAGTGTAGATTAGCCTTGTGTCTTGAAAATTATAAAGAAAATTATCTTAAAATAATGTCGTTTCATTAAAATACCATGAGAAAAAAAATAAAAAATAGTCTACTTCATGCTTTAAAAATATGACATTTTAATTTTTTTAATGAGAATTAATTAGAATAATATAATTTTAAAATAATTTCCTTGTAATATTTAAGCGGTAAGGTAGATGAATACTTCTTCCATTTATAAAGAGGAAAATTTTACTTACAAACATATTTTCCATATTACACTTATATAAAATTTTAATTATTTATCTTTTTCACTTATAATGGTTAAAATTTATCATTATTTTTTAAATAAAAAATAATTCTATTTAATAAATATGAAGAAGTCTTAACTATTAAAAATAAATAATTAATTAATTAATTAAAATTTTGTATAAATATAATATATAAAACTTATATATCAAATATATATTTACTTTAAAGATGTTTTCAAGTAATTTTTGTTTAACTTAAAATCAATAGAGCAATTTTAAAAACCCTTTATATCTATTTAATACATTTTTTTAAAATTAATTGACCTAAATACTAGTTCAAAGAGTTAAAATATATACTTAAACTCTAAAACGACACGTACTTGCTATTAAAATAGGGCATTCGAGAATAAAGCCCAATCATGTCAAGAGAATCCTCAACATTTGAGTTACCGAAAAAAAAAAAAAAAAAAAGAAAAAAAAAAAAAAAAAAGGATTTTTTCTAAACGCATAAATAAATTAAGGTTATTTTTTATGTGAATAGGTATTGAAAAATAAAAATTAATTTTTATTTAATCATTTGTATT